AGGAAACACGTCGGTTTCACAGCATTATCGTTTTCTGAACGTTTATATTGCCTGCATGTTCAAATTAGCCCCATGGCTCAGATGTATGTTGGCTCTTAGGCGGCAGTGTGGTGTAATCCCCAGACTACGGGACTGTATTGAACCGTTTTTCAGTTTCATTCGTACCGGTATCGGCGGATTATTACTCTGAACGATAACATATATATCCGTGGTCTCTGTCGCGTTCATATTTTAACCACTACCAAGTGACCTACGCTCTGTCTTCACCGATGGCATTACAATTAATTGAAAGCATAACTGAGATAATTTGAAACCTTTGTAAATTTGCACCGATTAAGCTATATTATTATAGAACGTTGCTGGTGAAAAATTGATTACTAGCAAACTGGCAGCTCGATCAGCCTTCAGCAATGAGGGATTAAGAAGTTAATAAATTATGCAGTAATCCATTGAGTTTCCTATATATCATTGCTACTGGGCAAAGGCAAAAGAAGGGAGTGCATGCCCACGCCCCCAGTGAGGGCGTATTGGCTTTGCAGACCTGAATTGTCTAACGAGGCAATATGATCTGAGGGTAAATAGACGTTCTCACGTCTTTAAAACACATTCTGATGGAATGACTGAGAACCACCTTTGTGTTTATCTCTTAAGGAACATCGCTGCCTACCCCTCCGCTATTTTGAAAAAAATCAACTTTTGTAACGTCACGCATCAAGTCGTGTCTGAAAGGATCTGCGTTTAACGTCTTGATTGAGTTCAAAGCGGTGTTGCTTATATCCGAGGAAGACGTCGCACTTCCCTCAGGTAATTGACTGCGGCTATACCAAGCGCAGTACAAACGGATTATCGACTACCACTGCTGAACCTCTATATGTTCTACCTCACACCGTTTCAAATTTACATAATCTTCACAACAAAGGAGTATATGCTTGGAGGGTAATGAAATGCCAGTAGATATTGACGGCCGCTGGCCATCATGCCTTTCGCCATTCGTTCGTCCGTTGGTCGGTTGGTCGTCGGTCGGCGGGCCGGCGGGCCGGCATTATCGACGCCGGCGATATGACCCAGATTTGCCGTTGCCATTCACGTCTCGCGATGCGGTGTGCAAACGCTCGATGATGCAAACCTCCTCGCCGCCACAACCGTCACCTCCGCCAACGCTATCGACCGAAGGGCGACGTCGCTCGTAGAGGAAAAAACACGACCGACCGACCGACCGCCGTCAGGAATCAGGAGTCAGGAGTTAATGAGTCGGAAATATTCGCCATTGCGCCACGACATCCATCCGTTTGTTCTGCGTGTTGCCGTTCGGTCGGTACCCACCGAAACCGTGACCCCCGCGTGAACCCGACCGACCGTAGCCGTAGCTTTCGCCCGTAACTCCGAGTCGCCAAACTCACAGGTAACTCACAACATAAACATATGAGAAATGTCTTC